CCTCCTTGTAGTTGCGCCTTTACTGTGGTAAAGTGGTGAAAATAGGTGGTCATATTTTAGCGTTACTTGTAGGACATCAATCACACAATCCGATCTGATGTTCGTGCATTGCCATACAGATTGACTCCGCGGAGCGTCAACTGACCGACTCGTATCAGTACCTTGTGGAGGATGCACGAAAATTGCGCGACTTCTACACCAAAGGAGATGTGAAAGACGAGCTCTACCGCCGATTTCTTGGACAGGCTTTTGTAGTTGCCACTGATGCAAGGGTCCTCTTTCAATCCTTCCAACAATGTCGTCAGGCGCATTTTCTTCTCACTGCACATCATTGAAAGCTTTCATGAACCTAGTCGCATTCTCTCACTGTCTTTCTGGTGATATTAATTAGAAAGCCGGGCTTTAAATTCTCCTCCTGTCCACATCACATCAGTCAGTAAGGCAAACAAACATGTGTTTACGTGTTAAGACGGCGAACGTTGGGCGAACTAAAGCATCGTCTCCCTCAAAGCCATTGTGAAACTTATCTAAACCCACTATTTTGCCAAAATTGTACCTGTCACAAGATTTTAGGTAGGTAGAATCAAGTCTCGGCCGTGGGGAATCATGGAATATAGCCATCAGGGGAGCACCAGACATTAGTTCAAGTGTTTTGGTCAGCAGAGTTGAGGTGGCTTGGAATACGACCTTAAAAGACAAATCACAAAAGCGGACCAACAATTGGTGGCTTGGATTTGCAGTAACTTTAGTTGGGCAGAGTGGCTGGCTTCATTTAGAGTGTTCGCAAAGAGCACGTTTTTAGGACTATCACAGGAGTGAACTTTGCATCGAAAGTTCAACATTGCCAACGTCAATTAGTCCAAATCTTTGTGGAGCAAAAGGGTAAGCAGGTGGGAGTTTTCATCCTTTTCTCCACCTCCCCCAAGCTCTTAGCGAATGTTATCGTCAAAGGCTGTATTGAAGGTGGCGACAAAGCATGAAGGTGAAGGGATCCCACTGTCTAAGTTATCATTGCTAAACCCCAGTGTGCAAACTTAAAAAGCGATCCCATGCTGACTGTGTCACTTTAAAGAATCAAAAAATGCCACGTAATTAGGGG